CTGGGGCACTCGAGGCTGCCTGCCTCCCACTGACAGTGAGCCAGGCTAGGCAGGGAGGAAGAGGCTGAAGGGAGGCCCCGGGTAGAGAGGACCCCTAGAAAAGGAGAGCAAAGGCAAAAATGAGGGGACAGACAGAGTCACGGAGGTTGAGAGGTGGGAAGAGGCAAGAAGGAAAAACTAAATAGAGAAGAGGACTGTAGGTAAGCAAGAAGAAGTAATGACAAGACAAGACAAGAGGCAATAATACAGAAGAAGAGTAGAGATGGGTGGCATGGACGTGGTAATGAGAAAAACGGACTTGAGGGCAGGAATTAAAGGGAGGTTCTCCCTGTGAGTCTTCTCCCCTCTTCATGCCCCCAGACCTTGACCACATCGTCAAAGACACAGGCCAAACCACGGGACCACAGAAGACTGTTGAGAGCCAGGGTAACAACACAGAGACGGGAGGGGAGGACCAGAAGGACGTTCCTGGCCCCCAAACAAAAAGGCATAAAACAAAGAAACCTAAAAATGACTATATGGATTTCAAAATACAATTTTTGGCCTGTGATTCAAGTCATTTAAGAGGCATTTAAAAGCAATAGGTTATCAATTTCTTCAGATGCACAGTCCATTCATAAATTAGGTCAACATAAAAATGAAATTAAAAACAATCCAAGTTAATATTTAACAGTTAAATGACAGTGCATATAGAAAATACTACCCACATTTCTACAAAATGTGTATAATATCCACTGAGTTAAGTAGTGTTAGTGTGGAACTCTAGGTATGCAGATAAACGGTGCATCTAAAAGCTACAGTAGAAACAAAACAACCTTTCCTCAACTCCTAATGGCTTTGTTTTCAATGCAACATCAATTGCTTGTGCAAATTTAGCAGTTTGGTCGCTTGCAACACTGTACGTTATTTCCAGCGCTGTAACAAAGTGCACCGAGGTGTTTTTAAGAGTTGGCCTATTCAGGGTACATGGTTTACAATAGGTCTGGTTTTAAAAAGCCTTAATTGGCCCTGATCTTGCAGATCCACTTGTGATGTCACTGGAAAGGAAAAAAAACATGAAAGGTAAAAAGAGTGCAAGAGACAGAGAAACGTCTCTGACTACACACTGAAAAGGGGGAGGGCAAAACAGACAGTTTGTCAAAACAAGATGCTCTCATACAAATTTGCTCTCTTCTGCAGCAAATCCCGTGTGAAACATTAACGCTCATTTGTGGTGAGGCTGGAACAAACGCCCATAGCACAGCCAGCAAACAACACAAAAAACTCTTCCTCTCTCATTCTGTTCATGAGTGCAAATTCATTCTGCTTTTGTCTCATCTCATGACAAATGCATACTGTCACAGCCACTGATGTGGTGTTTACAGTGGCATGCAGCATCTTGTAATTATTCTGTGAAAGTGAATTTGTATCCTGAGGGATTTGTATTTGTGCATGTGGATAATCAAAAGTGATAGAGAGGGAGACAGGACAACTGGGAAGTGATCTACAATAAAAAAAAAAGGAAGATGCTGCTTGAGACTCATCTTTCCAGTGCAGTTCACTATATGCCAACATTGTTCTGGTAGTTTTGTTTAGATAGCAAAAAGCCACAGCATAGCAGAAAATGCAAGTAGCTGCTCAGCTATGTCAATCAAGTCCAAAAATTAAAATACAGTTTGTCAAAACTAATGAAATGTCTATCCATCTTCTGTGCAGATTAGTGACATTATTTGTAAGCAGGGCTTGTTGTAACCTTACCAGTGTCCAACAGAAAACAGTGTATTGGAGCTATTATTTCTTCATCTTTGTTTAATCAGTTGTTCTGTTTAAAGACTCTTTAAGGTAAGGAAAAAATGCCTTTAATGGTATTGCTTTAATTAACACATTACTACTTTATCAACCCTTTATCAAACACCCTTAACAGGGAAATCAACCACTGACATTGTGTGAACATGACACAAGCTGACCCAGGGACACTCAAAGTATTTCATGGGGTCCTAGGAAAATAATTTTTGTGTTTGTGTGTCTTTTAGTCAGTTTCCTCCCAGAGGAAGTCAGAGCCCATTGAGAAAAGGCATCAATGCCATGATGAGATCGAGAACTTTCCTGTGACATGGTTTGCCACAAGGCATCCTCCAAGGATATTTGAATGCTTGAAACATGAGTGACCCTTCATAAGATAGACGGGAAATGGCTATGAAAAGTATTGACAGGCTGACTGTTTGAGGGGAGTAAGAAGTTGCTCAGACAGCCAACTCTCAGTGCCAAAGACCTCACTTTAAACTCTAACCAAACTGAGTCTAGACAGGAAAGACTCCACTCTAAATTCTTCTGGGGAAGAGATCAAGCTTGGATTTTCTGTCTTGTATATTTTTTTTGCTTTTTATCATTCGATAATGTAACAAATAATTGCAAAGCCAGATCCTCAATGTAGCCAACATCCTAAGCAGCGACCTACCACCTTCACCTGAATCATTTCTGTGCAATGCTTGTCCAAGGTCTTTGACATCAAGCAAAAAACAGTGTTTAATGTAGCTCAAAAATAGCCTAAGGAAGCATCTTCCTTCAAATACGCTTGGCGAAAGGGAAGAAAAAAATAACTTTTTTTGGTTCTTTCTGAAAACCCAAAGGCAACATGAGTGTTTCAGTGGTCAGATGACAAATGTCTCATCTGATCTTAGATCCAGTAATGTGGCCAGCTTCAGGGCTAAAAGAGGAAATTCTCAAAGGATAAAACTATTTGGTACATTCCACTGTGCTAAAATCACTGCTGTAGTTTTCTCCACACCAATACATAGAATTTTAGGTCCATCACTGAAGAAGATCCTACATAAAATTGGCCAATATATGTGAATCTGAGTCCAGGCTAAATCAGAGACAGGACAAAGCCTGGCAAAACCTGTTTCTCATGAAGTAATGGTATCGTGCCTCTTCCAGTAATAAAACTCAAGTATGATTTCTCCGTGTGTGCTTCTTTTTTCCAGAGTTGTCATTCAATCAGACTAAACACTACTGATCGCCACTGTTACAACTACTTTATAGTCTGGCTACCTGTATTAAATCCGAACAACAGCTCAAGGCCAAATCGTTAAGTTTTGCCAGAGCCTGTCAAAAACAATCCACCTCTCCTCAGCTGAAATTCAAAGTAGGACATATTGGCAGAAATCCCTCACCACAAAGACTGATGCAAACATTTAGCAGCCATGTGATAATCATCCGGTTCATTATATATTCCTTGATAGTCAACTTCACAGAGCCAGTCGGTGTTCATCTCCATCACCTGATGACGCTGGCGCGCTCAAGCCTGTTGTCTTTGACGAAGATCAAATGTGGCAACAGAGAAGTGAGTAATAAATGGGTCAAGCAAGGTATGTCAGTCTCCACTAACTCTTGTCTAAATCATCTCTCTACAACGTAGCCAAATGTGATAGTATGACACTTAAAATATTTGGCTGCAATAGGCAGCGACAGCAACATGGCATGAGATAATGTTTTCAACATAAATGGACTCTCCAAAATGATTAGGCCAGGGAGCGTTTGTTTGTTTTGCAGTTAGGTTGTCTTTATTTGTTGTTTTTTCTTCTATTATTTTTATCATTTACTGTTACTAGTAGTAGTAGTAGTAGCATTTAAAATGATAAGCACAACTGGCCCACTGAAATTCAAACTGAACTGTGGATGCAATCGGTATGTCAGGTTTTTACAATAAAGCTGAGTCACACTGCACACAAACTAACTAATTCTTCCAAAGAAAACTTCTTCTTCTGCAATTTTAATTCAATAAACTACATGGTTGAAGTTACCTGTTAAGTTTAGTCCAAGCAGAGGTAATGCGGGTATGTGTGGTGCTAGTAATTGAAATATCTGCTCTCCACTTCAGAAAATGTATAACGTGCCTTTAGTCTGCCAGTTAGTTTATAGTATGCAGATGGAATGTTCAATAATACAATTTGACTTTGCAGCTCCCACTTTCCTTAAAAGATTAACTTGATCAGCAGCAAATGAGGCCAACCACCTTGTGGACCTGCTGATTTATGATGGCATAGCCTGGTGATGTCTGTTCTGTTAAGTGTTTGCATGGTAGTATGTCACTCTGGTCACCTCTAAAGTGGGTTTCTCTACGGTGCCAGCACACACTTTAATAATCCAATATGAGCATGCTAGGCTAGATGAATATGAGCAGTTAAAGGTAAATAAATCACTTTCAATAACTTTATAATACTGCTACTTCTGTAGAAGTAGTAAAATGTACAGACATATAAATATACCTCACTCCAAAGTCAAGGAAAGATAAACCAGCCCGGGTTTAACAATACAAATTAAAGCAACATGCTCTGCAATGTCAGAAATATAGCCTCATCTTGAAGAGTAAAATTTGTAAACACATTGGTGGTCTTATGTTTACGTAATATACTGTAATAGTATTACAACACTGTAGCATGGCATCAATAAGTGACTACTTTATTTGGCTACCGTTAGGTTTTTACCATAGAATTGGCTTAATGGGTTTGTTTCCAATGCGTAGAAGCAAATTTGGGAGAAAGCTGCCCCTTTTACACACTGTAATAACAAACATGACTAACTTTAACTGACATCGATTGTGTCGTTTAAAAGTGGTGAAAGTTAGCAGCGCGGCATGCTAATGGGCTAAGGAGCTAAGCCAGCTAGCGAACTTCGGAAAAGTTTTTCAGCTAAGTGACAGGCTTCCGATTGTACAACCAGTGATTTCTGTGAGCTCTGAAAGACTGCGAATTCCAGACCAAGTCAAAATACAGTGTCTAACAGTTTACAAGTGGTTCATTAGCTATTCGATGTAATTCATTTTCATAAGTTCGCTGTCAGCTAACGCTGTTTCTGTTCTTACCCGGAAGTGGGATTCTGTTGCTAAGCTATTAGTTCTTCACGTTGAGAGTTTCTCCTGATGGTTATGGCGGTTGTCTTTGTTTTGATTTTCCTTTTCTTTCCCAGCATGCCCCAACAACCGATTCGGCGGCCCTCTCTTCTTGCGTGGCACTGTCGTCGGAGAGCTCAAAACTTTCTTTCTTTGAGACAAAGCCTGTACTGTAGAGCCAGCCGAGATACGCACGTATTTTCACAGAGACTGTCTCCACTAGGCCCCCCCTCATCACCACACTCCTGACCCGTGTGCCAGTAATGTAAACAACCCAGCATTCCCAGAGCTCAGGGGAGGGGCAAGTGTCAAAGAGTGGAGGGAAGCTGTCAAATACCGCGAGATTCAACAGAGTAACTCACAACCTCATTTCTAATTTTGTTTTCATTCACATAAAATGTTATTTGCTGTAATTAAATGATATTCTGACAAAACATACAACTCAAGATCCATTTATTAGCTTTTCTCAGAGCTTTCAATTGCATCTCACTGTCAGTGCAGACTGGTGGATTTGTTAGCAGGGCCCTTGCTGCAGTGTCTGAATATTTTTGTGTACGTTAGTCAAAGACACATTGAAAACTTCAACCTAAGTAAAATCACCAATACAACAATGTAAAATAAAGATTCAAGTAAATGTTCTGGATTTAAATAGTATTAGCTTTAAAATGTAATGAGGCTTATTACAGCAAGGACAGACAGCCAGAATATAATAGGGCCTGCTGAATAATACTACAACACCTAGTTGTCTGTGTGTGAGTATGTTGAAGGTAATGTGAATTTGCAGCACATATAATTTTTAATAGGAATTTACTAGTGTGAGGACACTAGTAAAATCAGATTTTTGAACAAGGCTTTCTACAATATTGTTAAGGTCATAATGCAGTATGCATTGTACTTAAATGGTGCTAATTCTCTGACTGAAAAACATTTTATAGTGAACATTGGTCTTTTGCCCCCAATGAGTTTGTGGGACCCCTAGAAATTTTGCCCAACTGGTACTTCAGTCATGTATTTTATTATTAGTGCTAAGCTGAAAAAAATAGATTTGATTAGAAAAAATCAACTGGACTAGGTTTCTTGGTCGAAGACGTTTCACCTCTCATCCAAAAGGCTTCATCAGTTCTGATGTATTAATGTGTCATTAAATTCTCTTTTCACTTATTGAAGCTGTTAAAGTGAAGTTCAATTTAACTGTGCTTTACCACTCTTGACCTTAAAAGTAGTAATCTTATGTCACAGTTTTCATCAGCACATGAAGTTTATACTGACAATATGAAGATAACAATTGAGCAAAGTCAAATTATATACTTTACTTACTGTTTGGTGGTTTAATCTATTAAATTTCATCATATTACATAAGCTGATTATATGTTTTGAAAGTAAAATGGATGATGGATTCTCGTGAACATAGTCATATGCACACACATTGACACAAAGTCTTGTTAATACACAAACTGTACTGTATGCATGCAGGATATCCACACATCCCATGACACACCCATAGTTTGTAACTGAGAATATCATGAGAATTTATTGATGAAATGGTATTGCAGATTGACTCGCATGGACAGTGAGAGCATCTGGAATTGATCTGCTTATTTTGCTTTGATAAAAGCTTCATCGCTGATTTCAGACTGACAATTCAAACACTGCTGATACATAGGAAACACATCTGTCTTCTTCCCACCTCCATTGTTAATAATCAACAAGTTAGGTAGGGTTGTGTTTTTTTTTCTCCTTACTTCAATACCCTTTTTTGTTAACCTCACTGCAAATATGGAAAAAGGAAAGATGCCTGGAATGTAGGATTTTTCCCCTTTTTTCAACAACAGTTGAAGATTAAAAGAAACGTCTCACAGAAATCTGTCAATTCTGTATGTGAATAATGCTGTGTGGAATTTAATGGCATGAGTTATATTGGGTTTCCTCTACACCCACATTTTCTTTCAATAAGATCAATGGCGCTCAGTGACAGATAGGGACGGTCTTTTGTATCTTCAAATTTCAGGTTTCTGAGGGAATAATTAGATGGATGGATGAAAAGTAATGCATGAGTCTGTGAGGGGAGCTGCACCCAGAGATCCTCTAGTTCAATACGCATGCCTCTCTGTCTGTTTGGTAGAAAACTGTTTAATAATCATGTTGAATTTCCATTGTTCTAAAAGTGGCTTTCTATACTGATCTGGTGCTTTAAACCAATAGCAAACTTATTGTGCTCTTTTTGCTAATATTGTTTATTTAACAGAGAGAAGTTCCCTTTGATTTGGGGATATTTTTTAACATGAAGAGAGTATTGTCATCTGTTTCCCTTCAAACTTTCTGGTGACACTTGGAGGTAACCGGAATGGAAAAGGTTCTTCCTCCAGGGGGAGATAAGGGAGGTCAAATTGCAAGATTTATAGTGAGGCTTTAGACATTTTACTGTAACTTGACATTTAGCGCTGATATGTTAGACCATTTTCTTGCTCATATTTTGGGCTTTTTTTTTTTGCTGAACAAAATTGCCCACATATGTAACCTGATGACAATTAAGTTGAATTTACAAGAATTTGGCCACCAGTGTCTTTTATTTAGGGATCATCTAAAGGCACTGTTGGCCAAAGTTGTTATTTGTCAAGTAAAGAGAAGATTATTAATGCATTCCATTGAAGAGTATGCTTGGTTATGCATATGAACCGTGATGATCTTAGAATATAAGCACACTAGTTCTGTTTTTGTTTTCTTCAACATACATTTCACTGCAATTCTACCTGAAATTTTTCATTGTTGAGCGTACAGATGTTTTGCACCCGGGGGCTGAAGGCACCTTTTAAACACTTAAAAAGAAAAAAATGTTGATGTTTTTACACATTTTTATTTTCCCCTCTGTGTTGTTGATCTGGCTTAGGGGTTAGGTATGACTGCAATGTGGTAGAGACAGAAGCTGCAGTCAAAGCGCCTTGGTTTAGGTGCAGACTTCATAGAGACCAGCAGATGGAGGGGAGATGAGCTGTGTGCATCCTGAAGGTTTAGCAAGAACTGAGAGGTTGCACTCCACCAGTACAAAGATGACCTGTCACACTCTGAAACATGCTGTATCAATGCAGATGAGCTTCCTTTTTATGTACCTCACAAAGCACAGCTATCAGAGGAAAAGAGAAAGAGATTAGAGATGGAAATGTGTATGAAATGTTATCTCACAATATACACTCAGGCAAACCTAGAGCCAGCATTCATGATGCCTGTATTTCTATTTTATTCACTAATTAATGTTGTTTCATCTTCAAAGTGCAATTGCAACCCATAGTTTTCAGCCTTGATCACAATATTGTCAAGGCTGTTTAGATGTGAGCTATCACATAACAAATACATGTAAATATAGAATAACAGCACAACAGAGAAATAAAGGATTTATGGCACATGGTGAGCACTGCACAAATGAGGCACAGGAGAGATCATCTGTTATAATGTGAAGGACAAAACTGGTATATCATTTCAGCCTCAATCGCAAACATAATGCACAAATGTATTTACTATATTTATTATTGAATCTTTTCTGAAAGACAAGAGGCAGAGATGGAGGTAGCAGACATGAGGATGTTGAGGTTCTCTTTAGGAGTGACCAGGATGGACAGGATTAGGAATAAGCACATCAGAGGGACAGCTCAGGTCGGCTGTTTTGGGGGACAAGGTCAGAGAGGCCAGATTGAGATGGTTTGGACATGTACAGAGGAGGGATAGTGGTTATATTGGTAGAAGGATGTTGGAGATGGATCTGCCAGGCAAGAGGTCAAGAGGAAGGCCAAAGAGGAGATATATGGATGTGCTAAAAGAGGACATGAAGTTAATTGGGGTGAGAGTAGAGGATGCCGAGGATAGAGTTGGGTGGAAACAGATGATTTGCTGTGGCGACCCCTAATGGAAACACTCGAATGTAGAAGAAGATTATTGAATCCCTTCTCTTGGCAAAGACCCCAGAGTGGATCTCTAAACCTGTCCTGCACCAACCAGAGGGGCAGGCCTCAGTTTCACACACATTTTCAGGCTTAAAATGAATTGACACAC